GCACCACTAGCACCGCTCCCCGGACCCGGACTCGGTCCTGGCACGCGCACGTCACAAAGTACGCATTAGGCGCTTTAGAGGCGCACTTCGCACGTACGCATCGTCGCTAGGAGTTGGGGAGCCTTATAGTTTTCGGAAATGGACTCGTGGTTCGATGACATGGCAACGCAAAGCTCGATGAGTTGGCATTCTAGGTGGCGCACGCGTGGTAGGCCGTGTCCCTTCATCCTGCGTGGTGGTTAGATGTACGCGTGGCATCCGCATGGCTGTGACTGTTCAGAAATTGGTGAATAGGCATGATGAATGGACACTTCACTTCATGGTTCAATCTAGGCCGTCAGATCATGAAAATAGTGCGATCCAATGGTTAAGACGAATCAGACCAAGTGGTGCACCAGTTCCTGAAATGTCCAAGTGGTACACCAGTTCCTGAAATGTCACACACCTATTCCATGAGACACTTCAATCTCTATAAACAAAGAACTCCAGATTCGTTTTTGAGACACCAAATCAATTACAAATTCAATTAATTTCTAAATTCTTCTCTCTCCATATTCTGCTCTAAAAAAAATCTCTTATATTTTCGTGGTTATTCCGTTCGAGTACGATCTTTCATTGGTTCGACCGACAAGGTTGGTATTGTGTAGTATCGACTTTGGAAGGAGCGTTGTATCTTGGGAGACAGACGTCCATAATCCCGTTTGCACTTCATTGGAGGGCGAAATCTGTCTTAAGGAGATTTGTTTTGGCATACCTCGCTTCATCTACTTTTCTATTTTTTTCTGCTTATTTTATTTGTTCTTTTGATTGCGTTAGTCGAATTATCGATAACAATTATATCTTAACTTATTTTGAAAATAAATAATTTATTTATTTTCGACTTTAATTAATAAGAAATTATCTAGGTTAAGCTTTAAATTATGAAAAGTACGCTTTTTAAGCTTAGCCAAAAATTTTATAAATTGACAAAACTTGATAAGATAAGATCATTTGTGGTGTATCATGGATGAATAACAAAATTAAAGTCAATTGTAATGACTAAGCAGATAAGATAAGATTAGGGTGTCATTATTTATGAAATTAGAGCCCCCAAATCCTTGTTTAGAATGACACAACAATCAAATCACAAAACAAGTTTTGTCTTTCTCTATCTTCTCAAGATCTATGTGAAATTTGACTAATATAAAATTTGTTACATTAAATTATTGTGTTAAATATCAAAAAAAAAAAAAAGTTATAATCTTATTTATAAATTGTCAACTCTATAAAACTATTTTGTGTTGGGAAGTTTTACCCCTTCCACCCACAACTAAATTATAAAAATAGCATAAATCAATATTTCGAATAATTTTTTTGCTGAAGTCTAATTATAGTTCTGGCGATATGAGGTTAATTATTGTAAAGAAAACATTAATTGTATTTCACAAGATGAATGGTCAAAATTAAATGGTTAAGGGGTAAATTTTAAATTAAATTAGTATGTTTTAAAATTTTTAAAAAAATCTTTTATTCATCAAATTTGAGTATAAATAAATTAATTATTTGAGTTTGTGATTTTTGGTACTTGCAGCGATATTGACTTTGAATTATTCAAATTGGAGTTTCTTAATTTGGATACGTATTAAAAGTTAGAGAGAAGGGAAAGGGATGTTAACAGCATCATAGGATAAGGACAAGTAAAACCATCCTCTTAGAAAGGAACAAGTCTTTGGTGCACTTTCAATTGATCGTGGACCATGGAATTTATCATATTCAACATCCATAAAATCAGTAAAATATTATATTTTCCTTGGTAATTTTCTTAATTTTGTGTTTTACATTTTTATCTATGTTCCATATTTCATGATTGAAATATAAAATGACATACCACTTGGCGAAAGCATCCCATTATGTACAAAACTAAAATTTCTATTAACCTTTTTCTTTTCTTTTCTCATAGTAAAAAGAATCGACTTAAAATTCTTCACAAGTCGAATTTTCTCAATCCATACTCCCATTGATAAAGGAAACATTCGTCATATTCCCAAGGGTACTAATCTCTGTTTTTGTTGTGAATAATCATGTAATTATATGTGGACCTAAATCAAATTGAATTATCTGATAAGACTTCACTTTTACTACTTGAGGTAGGCCTTGATGGCTAAAAAAATATTACTATTGATATCATTAATCATATATTACTATACATTTCCCAAATCATTGTAAGGGACCCGAAACACAAATAATGAGCTTACTAATTGCAGAATTAACTCCTAATTAGAAACTCCATCATTCTCCATCAATAAAGTCATTTAATGACACAACTATAGAAGAAGAAAAAAATGTTAGAATCCAGCTAGATCTGAAATTACTTTATTTAAAGCGAAATAGCTCTGATACCACTTGTTGGGAAAAATGGGAGGTTATATGACACGATATGAAGTTTTGATCGTACAAGCAAAAACAATATTAAAGTAAGAAGAGAGATAGGTAGAGTTACCAAGTAATTTTATTATTAACAATCAATAGAGAGAGAAAAATACAATATCAGCAATGCATAAACTCGAAGAAAAGTCTCCTCTTTATAGGGGACGTCCCAGAATCTAGAAATAACCTAAAAGGCTGGAAACTATGTCAAAATACACGTGAAATCGAAATAAAACGAAAAACTAGATGGCGCTTTCGCTCGAGCATCGTCTAGCAAGACGGGAGTGACGCCTTGTCGGCGAGCTCTCACCAAATGAGCCTCCTAACTTGTCTTTTCGATCAATTTGTCTATCTTTGACATCCGAGGGCATTGCTTCCGCTCGTAAGAGGTCTTTCCGATCGAGATGTCTGCAAAAGTAACCCTACAACTAGGCAGCCAATAGTTGGGCCCCGTTCCAAATATCTGAAGCTATTTATTTTATAGAGGGGCATCTTCAAATGATCCATTACCTAGAAAGAGTGGAGACATTAGCCCAGAGTGAGGGTCACAGATTTAAGAATGGCAAGAAAAGGAAAGCATTTTTAATCCAGAGATTGAGCAATTACCAACGAGCTAATTCGTTCAGAACTCTATTAACTCCTTCTATAGATAAGGCAGATGACAATCTCTGCTTTAAAAGCTTGCACACTGCTCGAGCGACCAGTTAGCAGTAGGCTAGCAAAAATCCGACGATTTTTCTTCCCGATCCATAATTTTGATCTCTTCAAAACCACTTCAACTAGGACTCCAAATCACTCAAGCCTAGACTGAATTTGGTTCACAAACCTAATAAAAATGATGGTGGATTAAAATAGAGATGGAAATGGATCCATATATTTCACAATTAAATCAGAAAATCACGGTCCATTGAAAATAAATATTCCGCTCAAAAGCTTCCCATCGAAAACACAAAAAAAGAAAAAGAAAAATTAAAACAATAGCACTGAATTCAGTGATACTTTAATCTTATGGATAAAGATCCTTTTTTGTATTTTATATAAGAATAAAACCCACCTGTACTTATATAATTCGCTTTTTTGGTAGTATAACGTAAAAGAAAAACTTATGATTGAGTTCTTAGTTAAATAAGACATAATTTTTTAACTAAATCAAAAGTTCTTATTAGATTACTTTAAATTATTTTCTTCTCATAGAAAAAAAATTGAATCATTCCTTACAATTCAGACATTTCGAGCCCATGGAAAAGGAAAATTTTCAACAAATACCTTACGTGTGGGGGTTATAATCAATCTTCGTTTTTCTTTTTCTTTTTTTTCTCTTTTTTTTTTTTTTTTTGGCCAATAATCATCTTATTATTTGTGGGGCACAGCATTAGCAAGAAGTAATTATGATTTTAACTATTACTCAAAAATAGTAATAATGATATCGATCATACATTATTGATTAATCATTTTGTGGGACATGTTGCTCTACGTGTTAGAACATCAATTGGAATATCCCTTTATAGTGAAAATTTAGTGAATACGTGTTGGACTGATTGTATTTTAATTTTTATATCATGTGGTAATTGCAAGGATTTCCCTTTTTTCTTAGTAGTTTCCTTCTGTCACTAAAGGAAGAATAATTCTATTCATAAGAAGCGATTACAGTAGTCATCCTATGTGTTAGCTTGTTATTCAATGCATTTATTTTTGTAATCCTACTGTCTTAAACGACAAGTCAATATCTCAAATAACAAGCCGTCATATAGAATAATTACTGTAATCATCCGTTATGAATAAAATTACAACACATGACCGAGGAAATCATACTCGTACAATGTCCATCTGCATGATAACGTCCATTTTCTTCTTACTTTAGAACATATATACACCAGTTAAAACATGCATATCAATCCAATTCATACCCTACTATCTGACAATGTCAAGTTGATCCCTCTTTCTCTCTCTTGATGAAGAAAAAAAATTTATTACAACTCACGGGCAAGCTCTTTCAGATTTTTTAATGTTCAAAAAAGAGTATCCACAAAACCTATATTTATATATAGAACAAGCCAAACAAGAGCATAAAAACATCTTGACACACCTCAGTACAAGTTGTGGTGGAGATCCATTTTCTTTCACCCAAAAACAGCGACAAAATTCAAATTAATATATTCTACACTTATTGTTATCTGTTCAGTCTTTTCACTGGAAGGAAGAAAGAATTTGCCGGCTGGAAGTAAGGAAATTAACTGCAACTCTGCATGCTAAAGAATTGAATCTATACGCATCAAACTCTGGATTCATGCTTGCTGTGTCACCTTTGAGGAACACCAACAATGAAAGGGAAAGTGAGATGGAGGCTTTCTCCATGGGAGGTGATGAATTCCCTGATATTTCCAGTGGGAGTTTACTTGACAGTATTGATTTTGATGATCTTTTTGTTGGGATCAACGATGGAGATTTGTTGCCTGATCTGGAGATGGACCCTGAAATTCTTGCTGAATTTTCACTTAGTAGTGGGGAAGAATCGGAGATTAATACATCAACTCCTGTATCAGTGTCAGTTGAGAAAGTAGATGAGGGTGGGGTCGAAAAATCAGCCTCGGATACTGGTTCGGAGTCGAGCTTGATTATTGAAAAGGAATCTGTGAGTAAGAGAGAAGAATCAGCTGTAGTTAATCAATCTCACAAGGAAGCTGATAAACGAGGAAAATCCTCGGCACAATCGAAAAATCAACCGGGCAAGAGGAAGGTGAAGGTAGTTAAGAATACTATATCCAATAGTTTTAGGGTTAGGTTTTATGTGTCAATTTACTAAAGTCACTTTTTGCATCAATAGCTAAATGGAATTTAAATCTCTTTCATACTTATAGTTTTCACAAGCTTCATGGGAAGAAACCCTCACGAGAATCAGCTTTTACCTAACCCAGTCCTCAAGGGTGGATTCAATTTTCTAGGTTTGGTGAAAATTGGATAAATAGATCATTGTAATTCTTCCGATGTCATTTTAAGTACCTTTTTGTGAGTGATAGACAAAGTTTATGGCTTTTTATATGTATATGAATTTAGCTCGTATTTCAAGAAAAGATGAAGTGTTTTCTTGAACGGCGTGTAGGTGGATTGGACACCAGAGCTACACAGGCGTTTTGTGCAAGCAGTGGAGCAACTGGGTGTGGATAAGGCTGTGCCTTCAAGGATTTTGGAGCTTATGGGGATTGATTGTCTCACTCGCCATAACATTGCCAGCCATCTTCAGGTATTCATGTGAATCTACATACTTTAATTTCCTCTCATGTTTATGCTTAAGATTTGTTCGTTTCTTATTCTTCTTATTTTCGGTTTTCTTTTGCATATGGTATTGAAAGTCTTCATCAAATCGATATCGCTTTTGTTGAAGGGCTAGATCTAATTATAGGGCATGGTGATTATGCATAAATTAGCTCTATTTTGCATTGAAATTTTTAACAATTTTCAACACATCTATACAGTATCCAAGAATTGAAATGTACCAGACGTTGAAATAACATAGAGAAGTTTGGCATTGTATGTTACATTTCTTGTCCTTTTAACTATTTGTCTCGAAGTGGAAAGGTAATTGGCTCAATGAAAACTTGTCCAATTTCATCTCATAATAACATAATTATTTTCAAGATTGAATATTCTAAGGCCATGTTTGAGCCACATTCTTTTCAAAAAATACATTTTTTTAAAGAGTGATTTGACATCATTTCAATCACATATTCTTCAATAAAATAATATTACATGTAAATTCAAAACTTTTCCTCATTTTTAATTACACATTCTACATGAATCTCTTATTCCAAAATATATTCTTTCAAAATAATGTGGCTCAAACACACTTAGAAAAAATA